AATAATTGAAAAATGAATAAACATTAAAAAAAAACAAAAAACAAAAAACAAAGTGACAGGGTCTTCAGCACTTGAAAGTTTCAGAGGACTTTTTTCAGGCGTAGCCAACACTAAAGGCAAGAGCTCACAGGTCGTGAGCTTCTAGCAACTTCTCTGGCTTTAGAAAGAGTGGCATGGAAACCAGAGGCCCAGGCTTCTGTCTTGGAGAACATGTCGGGGTCAAGTTTCCCCCGTAAATTCCCCCACGCTACAGATTCAGAGGTCTGCGGAGCTGGGGTTTAGCAAACCTCACTCACTCCCCAGTTTCCTGCTTTGCGGCCTCCCTCGACAAAGCTTGTCATGGACCAGGGTTCACGAAGATGGTTATCACCGAGACACACCTAAACAGATGTAAAGTCAGACTGAAGCTCGGTGCCCTGGAATTTGCTTGATAGGGAATTAAAAAAAATATATATATATATATATATATTTTTTTTTGACAAAAACTTTTGGGAATGTGCACCGGGCGTTGGGCACAGGAACCCTGTAGGACCTCCTGGTTCCCCATTTCCTCCACATCCACCACATGGTGTCCCCCAAATGTGCCACAGTGGACCCATTTGCACCCTTGCCACTCCTTCTTCAACTCACCAAACAAAAGGCAGCATCTTTTGAAGTGATGTTTATAAAATCCAGAACTTTTTTTTTTTTTTCCCAGAATGTTGTGGGCCTTACATGATTATTTTTAACTCTTTCTCAGATGTTCTGCCATATATTTGGGCAAGACAAGACAGAGGAGGTTTTTTTTTTGTTTTTTTTTTTCAAGAGACTTGCACTGTCTGGGAGAACACTGGAGTGCCTGGGTCTTCTCCACAGGCATTCCTAGGCTGAACCTTCACGAACAACTTCAACCAGGTCTGTTCCCAGTCCAGGTACACAAATGATCACGGGGGCAGGGATCGGCGAAATGTCAGCCTGTAAAGCATTTTTTGGAGGAACCCCCCAGCACTCCTACCTCAAGAATCAGCTATATCTGGGGCAGGGACTTTGCTGTCACTCTGTGTCCCAGAGATAGGATCTGATACATCCACTGGCATGGCTAGGGCTCGGGATCAGGTCGTGCCCATTTCACAGAGGGAAAGGCAGGAGGCCAGAGAGAACGGCGAGTCAGGTTTTTTAAACACTTACATCTTCTGACAAGCACAATTTCAAATCATAGACACGCTTTAAGAACAGTATAATGAATACCCATGTTATTGAAATGTTAACATTCCTGGCATTGCCTTTCTTCTTTTCTCTCTGTCCTCCTTATTCATGTATCTGCTATGGCCGGGGGTGGGTGACATCTGGGTCCGGGCATGCAGCCCTTCTAAATTGACCTCCGATATCTGGACTGCATTCTGGAAATGGCGATCTACCAATATTATTATTCGATATAGCACCATAATCTGGATTCCCCCATTGTCCAATATAGCCTAATAGGCTCTCTTTAGAAAGTAGTTTCATCCAGGAATGTAATCAAGGGTCCCAGGGGCAGTTAGTGGTTGACCTCCTTCAGTCTCTCTCAACAGTTCTCACCTTTGTTTTGTGTTGTGTTTGCCTGCCTGGCTCTGTCAATTCAACATTTTCTGGAAAACACCCAGGCCCATGGTGTGCAGGAAGTCCTCCATTTGTGTTTGTCGTTTGTTTCTCTGGTCTGATTTAGTTAAACTTTTGGGATGTAAACATCTGCAATCCTGAGGCCCTCTCTCAGAGGACAGACACCTAAGGAATATAAGTCAGTCTATTCCATTATGGTTATCTTTACCTGATTACTTCCCCTGGGAGCTGTTGTTCCAGATTCCTCGGCACATCTTGTTCCTTAAAAACGCACTTTTCCCTTGCGGGCGCCTGGGTGGCTCGTCGTAGTGTCCACTGCTAGGCCATGTATCATCGCTGTTTTGGGGTTCTGAGGTCGCCGGATTCAGGACTTGATGCTGCTTGAACCTGTTGAGCACTCTGTTCATGTCTCCCTCCCTCTCTGCCCCACCCCGCTATGGAAACAGTCAATGTGTCTCTCTCTGTCTCTCAAAATGAATACACATTCAAATTTTTTTTAATTTTATTTTTATTTTTTTTAAAATATGTATCCCAATTAGTTAGCATATAGTGAAACCATGATTATCAGACTTCCTTAATGCCTCTTATTCATTTTAGTCCATCTCAAACATTAAAAACATTTTTTAACAAATGTTTCATCTATGTTTTAATGACATTCTAGATGATTATTTGAAATCCAGTTATTACCAGGATAGGTTTTGCAAATGGCTTTTTGGTTTGTCATTCCTTGCATTTATTAGTTGGATTTCATGCGAAAAAATTCTCTTTTAGCAACTGTAAAATGTTTTTTTTTAATGTTTTTATTTTTTTGAACCAGAGAGAGACAGAGCATGAGCAGGGGAGGGGCAGAGAGTGGAGAGAAGAACAACAAGTGGCTGCAACTCTGACTTGTCACACAAACAACTCTCCCAGGGCTACTGAACTCACTGACATTGAGAGATCATGACCTACATAAGTTAGTCAACCGAACTGAACCACCCAGACTATTCTACATCATGCTTTGTTTTTGTTTTGTTTTACTTTTAAGTTTTAAGATTTATTTATTCCTGAAGTCTCGAGAGGAAGAGAAGAGAGCAGAAGGGGGCCTGTGAGAGGGAACAACAAACGCAGGCTCACATCTGTCAAGCACGAGCCAATGCGGGTGGCTCGAACCCAGCAAATCAATGAATGATGAACCTGAGCCTACGGCAAGGTCGATGTCAAATGGCCTTGAGCCACCTAGTTGCTCCCTGTTTTATGCACTTTTTAAAGTGCCAGTATTGCGCGCAGTTCATGTTCACCCAAGGGAGTAGATTTGTTACTTTATTATTATTATTTTGTTGAAACCTTCTCCATCTGGCATGCTGGCTTCCTCACCTTTCTGCCTGCACCTGGACACATAGTCCCATGTTTCTCCAGTACTTAGTTTCTAGGTCCTCCTGACATTCTTGTCCCAGCCCGAGTTACCTCTCTCCCAGGGGCGGCCAGTGCCCCTTCTGGCGGGAAGGCTGCTGCAGGACCCAGAGTGCTTGCAGGACTGTGTAGCGAGCCCTTTGAGCAGCAGAGCTGGGGTTGCTAGTTTTTATCTCAGCACATCCACTGTTCAAAACTCCCGAGTTCTCCTCCCCCCCCCGCCCCCCCAAATCTCCCTCAGTGTATATGAGGACCGGGTCCTGACAACCAGTTCTGGGCACCACCAAGCTCGCATGCAGAACTGCTTCCTGCCTCCTCCCACCCTGCTTCACTCTCGGCTGTGTCCAAGGCCTTGGCACAGCCTCTCCCTGCCCTCTCGCCAGTGTCCTAAGGAGCACAGTCAGGGATAGGCTCCGTCAGCCTAGGTAGAGTTTTCTGCCGGCTTATGCTAAAGTCATGACTTGCATACCCGAGTTCCCTTACTTCTGTTCTTCCAATTACGTCCCCCACGCTTGTTGATTTATTTCTTGTATGTGTAAAATGGACACGTATTTAAGACACACACTTGGAGATCTGGCTTGGAAGAGGGTGTAAAGGACCTGGAGAGTCTCTGGCTGGTCACCACCTGAACCCCTAAGGGTCGTGGCGGTCTCTGGAGAGAACTCACAGGGACCTCGCATTGGTCTCTGATGACAGCTACTTTTCTCATGCCTGTTTAATCTTCCGCTGTTTAGGAGAGTACTGGCACCTAGTGGTCTCAAACAGCAGTAGGAATTTCAGAGGCCCATTTCCATGGGTGGAGCTAGCCGGGCTCAACAGGGGGACGTCTTGCCCGCAGAGAGGTCTCATTGGAAGAGAACGCAGTGAGCGCGCCGCCCAACTGCCTGTGCACACAGTAGGCGCTCGGTGGAGACGCGGGCGGGCGTGTCCCCGAGGGAGACCAAGTCTGGGCTGAGAACGGGCGCTGGGGCAAGAGCAAGCCAGCGAGGCAGGAGTTGGACACAGCCGGCAGCGAGCGGAGACTGCGCCGCCGAGGAGGCGCCGCCGGTGCTGCGGATCCCTGAGACGCGCAGCCGTGATCCCGCTACCGGGCCTCCCCCTGGTCCGCGGCTGGTTACAAGGCCTGCTCCGCTCGGGCCTGCGGCCAGGCTTGCCGCTCTGCTCTGCCTCGTGAGCGAGAGGGAGAAGAGAGCCGATCCTGGGAGGGCGGGAAGTGAGACCTGAGCCCTGACCCTCCCACAGTCCCTCGAGGAACCTGGATGCAAGGGCATGAACGGATTGCTTCAAGAGTTCTCTCAGGGAATCGCACGCCTGCCTGCTCGTGCGCAGCCCTGTGTGCTCTAGGGATCGGTGTGTTGCTAAAATAGACCACACATAACTAATATCAGCTTCCTCAGGTAGATTCCAGGGCTCAGGATCCACCAGATCCCTGTGATGGGATGTCTGTGAGAGACAGATGCACAGGGGCTGCGGAGAAGCAGAGAAAGGGGCGGGATCTGACGCCTGGAGAGGCCTGGACTGGCGGATGGAGGGCATTGTGAGGGGAAGGGCAGCCCCCCAGTTGAGTTGAGGGAGGACAGTATAGTCTATCCTGGGAACCTCCGACCACTGTCCCAATCAGCTAGGTGACTGGAGCATAGGAGTGGGGGGTGGGTGGAGGGCGTGCTTTTGGGGTGGCCAAGAGGTTCGAGAAGGCAAAGCCCAGAAACTCTCAGACTTTGATGCCCCATGCAGGGGGCTGACTGTGTTAGAGTCCCTTCCAACGCAGTGGGGCCACAGAAGGAGAGCCCAGAGGAGGAGAGTGCAACAGGTGGTGGGTTGCATGTTAGGAAGCAGGAAGGGAAGGGTCCACGAGAGGAGGAGCCAGCTGGACGAGAACTGACCTAAGTGAAGAGATGTAGGGAGAGGCAGTGGGGTTCTGTAGTGCAACCTGAAGAGAGAGAGGGCAGACAGGAGCTGGGCCGCTTGCTTGAGAGTGGGAGGGGGTGATGTGGGCAGGAGGTAGCCCTGTGTCTGAACAGCCTGTCAGGATGGCCTCTGAGGTGCGCCGTGCCGGCATCGTGGTTTGGACTCATGCAGGCATTTACATGGGTGGGTGACAGAGTGAGCCCAGGGGTGTGGCCCTTCTGCGGGGTCAGCTCCGTCCATGCCTCCTCTCTAGAGTGTGAACCTCCAGCCCCAGCTGCCATGTGACCTTTGCCACCAACATCGGGACTGACAACCATCGTGCAGACCTTGAGAAGCCTCTCTGGATTTGACAGCACTCAGCTGGCTTCGATTGGCATGCTGAGAAGTGGATACCTCTGTGTCCCTGAGTCACTCAGGTAAAGGCCTTCTTCCGGGTCGACCATCTGAAAGAGCGTACCTGTTCTGCAGGAGGAGGAGGAACCTGCAGCGTGGTAGTGCTTTGACCGACTGCCGCGACACCCCCCCGTAGGTTCCTAGCTGATCAGCGGCACCTGGGGGCCTGCACAGCACCCTGAGGCGAGAGCGAGGCCACATGTATGACTCTCCCCAGAGCGCTCTTCCAGCTGGCGGAGAAATAAAGGCAGACCAGTCACTGAGCACTCTCATCGGGTCAGTACTCCCCACACTTAAGCTAATGTTGACAACCGGCCGGCAGACCAGCTGGCATAGCTGAGTCCCACCACAGAGCAAGAATCAAGGTCTCACAGAGGTGAGTCACTGTGGGAGCCCCAGGCTGGAAAGGGAACCCAGATCACTGTGGTGGTCTCACCCTGCCCTTCCCCAGGCTCCTGAGGTGGTGCTGATTGAGGTTCGCTTGAGGAAAGCATGCACCGCCCGGACTCTTCGCAGATGTCTCTGGCCCCAGCTTCACTTGCCCCTCTCTGAGGGGCGGCATCCTGGGCTTCTGAGAGAAAAGAACCCGAGACGACCTCTGATCGTTTCTGGCAGCTGCGTTCGGGGCCATTCATTCTTTTTCAGCTCGACACTTCCTACCTCCCACGCCCGGACTCTGTGGCCCAGCCTGCAGGGGTTCTCTCCCATTTGACGAGACCAGGGCCCAGAGAGGTCAAGGGGTTGTCCAAAATCACCCAGCAAGTAGAAGGGACCACGAGGTCTGTCGCCACATGCTGTTTCCCCTGTCCCCTGCAGAGCACTCTCCTTTCCATTTTGAGGAAGATCCAGGGCTCTCAGGGGAAATGTGGAAGCGTTGGAGGCTGGGAGGGGTTGTCAGAAGAGGAGGTGGGGTGCAGAGCGGGACGACACGATGCGTCCAGTGCCAGATGTCCCGCCTGCCCCTCTCGTTGCACAGGGAGCCCTCTGGGAACAGGGCTGAACCTACCTCTGACCTGGGAGTGAGGCGCCACAACAGCGAAGGCTGGCTCAGGGAGGTTGTCATGCACAGTTGGGGTGAATGGCTGAGTGAGTGCCTTGAGCTGAGGTGGCCAGGAAGTCATCCTCCGACCCTGTCTCTGCAGCCAGCTCAGGAGCGCCTCAGTGCAGGATGCGAGCACCATTTGCTTTGGCTCCACTTTCCAGCAGACAGAGGGGGGGAAGGACAGTGCCTATAAGGCGAGCGTTTGACCTGATCCCTGTGACCTGCCAGCTTGGATTGCATGGGATGCTGCAGACCTGACAATCCTGGACGCCTACCGCCAGGAGGTGGGCATTACACTGCCTTTTCAGCACTCCCAACCCTGTATCTCAAACTCCACGCCCCATGTCGACAGCTCACGGAGCTGGGTGTGGGCAGCTGTGGTGACGACATGACATGCATCCTCCAGCTCCTGAAGGGCCAGAAGGCCGTAGAAAGGGCCAACGTTCGTACAGGACTGGCCCAGGGGCTCCGGAAGGCACTGCTTCCAGGGGCGTGTGACCATGCCAGGCCTCCCATGCACTCAGGACCTACTTGGCTTAATCCTCTGCTTTGTCATCTTGAATTCTTTTATTATTTTTTTAAATCTTTTTGTTTTCATTTGTTTGGCACGACACACGAGACAGTGTGAGAGGGGGGGGGGCAGAGAGAGAGGAGACCAGAAGAGAAGTCTGAAGCAGGCTCAGGAGCTCTGAGCTGTCAGTACAGAGTCCATTCTGGGGGCTCAGTCTGCAGGTGCAGTGAGATCGCCCTGTTTGGTCAGGACGCTCAACCAGCTAAACCCCCAAGCCCCAACTTTTTTTTCAGTGTTAGCTTAAAGAACATTTGATTTTTTTGGTTCTCAGAATATCCACTGTTTTAAACTGACCATGTATGGAGACCGTCAGTGGGCTCTGGTACTTTGTGCTGATTCTCCTTTATGATTAGAAACATGATTGGGGTTTCCATAAAATATAACCTGTCCCAGGAAAGTTGAGTTTGAATGAATTATTCCTTTTTTTTTTTTTTTCTTTTTTTAAAGTCCCTTGTGCCAAGGACCAAGCTGGGAATACTGGAAGGCAAAAAATACCACCAGGACAAAATGGGTTATACTCTGGCCAGTATGCTACAGGCCTGTTATAGATAATAGAGAAATGGTGGGGGGCGGGGGCTCCCAGAGGAGGCTGACAGGAGGGCAGGTGGTCCCTTCCACAGGAAAAGCTCCTGGAAAGGGGAGTCCAGGGGCTTTGAGGAATATGGGGCAGCGGTGATTGCGTTGCCAAATCCATGCCACTGTCACGTAAGCCAGAAACCCACCCTGTGGCCTTCCCTGGGTCCCTGTCTCCTAGAAGCCCGTCATCACCCAAACCTGTCCCTTAGCCCCCCACCTGCGTTGGCTGAGCGCCTGGGATGAATAAGGGGAGTCATGCCCTTTCCTCGTCTTGCAGGTTCAGGAAGTACATCTCGTCCATGTCCATGCGGGCTTGGTTGCAGGACCAGACCCTATGGTCCAGGCCGACCAACCGTCGTGTAAGTGGGGGGGGGGGGGGGGGGGGAGGAGGCTTCTTGAGGGGCAACCCTCAGGGGAGCAGGAAGCAAACTCAGCCTGTCATGGGGGAAAAGTCTCCCCAGATGCAGGGCAGGCTGTTGGGTTGATGAGGAAAGTGCATCTTTAAAAAAATGTTTTTAATATTTATTTATTTTTTTGAGAGAGAGAGAATGCGTGCATGTGTGGGAGTGGGAGGGAGGAGAACAGAGAGGGGGGAGACAGAATCCGAAGCAGGCTCCAGGCTCCGAGCTGTCAACACAAACCGAGGCTGAACTCCACAACATGGGGATCATGACCTGGTAATGGTCGGTCTTAACCGACCCGAGCCACCCAGGGCCCCAGAGGTGGCATCTTAAAATGGTTTACTGACACTTGCCCCCTCCCTTGTCTGAGGTGTTGTGGCGGGTTTTGCTGGAGTAACTGAGGTGGGTGTGGGGATTTTGTCCCTACATTCCATCTGACCCCACCCGTGTTGAGTCCAACCCATGGTAAGCTGACGGGTATGCAGTAGCTCCTGGTAAGGTAACGAAGTCATGGCTAGTGGCCGGTGTGTGGGCAGAGTATTGCATGTGGCTGGGGTGGCTCCCCCACCTGCCCATGCGTTGTGCCCCCGGTAACAGTGCTGCCTTGGGACCAGGGTCCCGAGTTCAAGCCAGCCTCTGCCTCACTGCTGTGTGAACCCTTCCAGAACCTCAGTTCCCACATCTCTCAGAGATTGGGAGGAAAAACCCCTTGATCTGCCTCCCCAGCGATTCCTTTGAATTATCAGGCAAAGCACCAGGCCCGGTTCTTTTTTGGGCGGGGCCAGTCCAGTTGGGGAAGACATTGCCCTTTGGGACTAGACAGACCCGCGTGCTTCGAGTCTAGGGTCGGCTGCCTGGGACAGGAACTCAATCTCCCCTGAGCTGCAGAAAGTGATCTGTAGAATGGGCATCGTGGGTCTATGGGGCAATGACCCGAAAGCAGGCTAGTTCACCCGTGGGACCTGTAAGTTGTTCACTGAGTTCTAAAGTTTACTTTGGTGGGGGGGGTGGAGGGGTTCTGTGGGTGGGGCCATTTGCCTCATCTTTAAAAGTTTTTTTTTAAATTTTTATTTTGAGAGGGTTTTGAGAGAAAGAAAGTGAGCAGGAGGGGGAGGCAGGCACAGAATCCCAAAAGCAGGCTGCTCTGAGCTGTCCAGCACAGAGCCCGGCGAAGGCTTGAACCCCACCGACCAGAGATCATGACCTGCAGGCTGAAGTCAGTTTTTCCAACCCTGACCACCGGGTGCCCCGTCATCTTAAATTGCGGATAAATCCGTATCCCATCCATTTCACCAGAAGAGTTGAGTTAGGTTGTAATTTAAAATTATGCAAAAAAGGCCGGGACACCTGGGTGGCCTCAGTCAGTTAAAGCAGGACTTTGGCTCAGGCCATGATCTCCCTGGTCTCAGGGGGACAGCCCTGCATCGGCTCTGTGCTTGTTTAACCCTAGGCTACTGCAGGATCTCTGCTCCCCTCTCCCTCTGTCTCTCTCTCCAAATTAAGTAAACATTTTTAAAAAAAAAAAAAAAAAAAAAAAAAAATAAAAATTATCTTGAAGACAGTTAAGAGAGGAAGAAGCCGAGAGAGACGAGGTAGTTGGGGCGTGGGTGTGGAACAAGCAAGATAATTCACGCCCCCTACTCAGACCTGGGGGGGGGGGACAGGCCACAGAGCCCGGCTCCCTGCTTCATCCCTGAGATCTGCGGCTGCCAGGCCCAGCCTGGGGGGGTGGGGGGGGGTCCCCTGTGTGTCCCTGGGAGAAGGCTGAGGGGGTGGGAATGCAGGGGAGTAAGTGGGCCCGTGTCCCGCGCCCACCCCCCTACTCGCGATGTCGACCACGTGGCGGCGAGACGTGACGGGGGGCATATGATCGTCATCCGTCATCACAGGGCTTCCTGCCCTTCTTCCTATAAAAGTCGCCTTTGCTGGCAATTTTGAGTCCTCTTCCTTCTCCTGTGGTAGCCGCAGTGGAGGAATGCCGACTTCGAGTGCACACCAGACGCATCCTCTCCTGGCGTTCCCCCAAGGCGGGAGAGCCCAGAGAGGCCATGGGCTGCCTCCCACCCGGGGTGAGAGTAGGGGCTTCAGGGAGGCTGGTGAGAGAAGAACATTCACAGGGTGTCCCGGTCAATCATTCAGCTGGAAGGAGGAGGGGCTGCCGGTGCAGCAATTCGCAGGCGCTTCCGGCTCCGACACCTCTCCTTCTGTGCCTCTGTTCCCTCATCCGGCGGCAATTTCAGGCTCCCAAGGCTCAGGGCTCAGGTTATCTTACTTACATTCATTTCATTTTGTTTTCACCTGACTGGATCCAGGGGCACCTGAGTGGCTCAGTCGGTTAAGCGTCTGACTTCGG